CCTACGGCGGGTCCATTAGTTCTTCAAATATTACCTTTAAGCTATTTTTATTGTTTAATGATATTAATAACACTAATATATTGATAGTTTTCTAATTTTGATTCTGTTTAGCGTTGTCACAGTTGCTAGGTTGACTGGACTTACGTCAGGGTAAGGATGGGAGGTTAGACCATCCAAATTCAGACACTTCATTTCCGGTCTTCCCGGTCCACCTCAACCAGGTAGTCTGGGTTCTTCGGACGACCCGGCCCACTGCTTTGGACACAGCCAGTGTGCCCCAGGGCAGCTGTGGCTACAGTGTAGCTTACCATCATCAGTGTGTGAATGTGTGGATGTCTGTAAGTTTAAAGTGCTTTGGGGTCCTGAGGGACTTGATAAAGAGCTATATAAGCTCAGTCCATTTACCATTTCACCGTTTTGTCCCAGATATTTCTGTCCTGTACCTCAGTTTGTCTCTGTTGTTTTTTCTCCTCTTCATCTGTCTGACTTCGTCACCCTGAGATTCCACTGAAGTCATGTTGTTATTCAGTTAAAGCTCAGTCTGTTCAACATCTGGATTTGTTGAATAAATGAATTGTTGGAATTTTCTCTCATTGTGAGTTTTGGCTGTTGGACAGATTTTCTCAGTCTCTTTGAATCTGTGGTAATAATGCTGACTCATCTTTCACTCTTCAGTAATTAATCCCATCACTCAACTTAAAAGGAGTAGACCAAACACATTCAGTGTGGAATAATTATGGGTGTGTGTATTAATTGTTGGTATGTGTAAGGAGCAAGGTGTGAATTGAGTTTAGGTTAGTTTTAGGGTCAGGTAGGTACCTGTGAGGTTTATTTTAGAGTATATGGTCAGGGTTAGGATATAAAGTCTAAAAAACATGAATGGAAGTCATTGGAAGGTCCCCACGGGTTTTTGCTACCTGGAGGGATTATTTTTTACCATTTTCCTGGTACACACAGCCCAGTGAGGGCCCATTGTTCTTAATGGGGACAAAAGCCCGGGTCAGGGGTTAGAGGTAGAACTAATGTGTGAATTGGGTTTAGGCTACATTTAGGGTCAAGAAACTTGTATCTACTGATACTGGATACCTGTGAGGTTAGATTTAGAGTAAGGGGTCAGAGTTAGGCTATGGAAGTGACTGGAAAATGAATGGAAGTCAATGCAAAGTCCCCACGAGGATAGAAGAACAAACGTGTGTGTGTGTGTGTGTGTGTGTGTGTGTG